TTGCAGGTGAGGTACATCAGGCAGAATCCCCTTCCACATCTCCCTAGCCCTCTGAGGCCCAGCCCCTCCCTCCCCACTGGGTCTTACCGGTCTCCCCCGTTCCAGTGAGGCCAGGTGCTCCTGCTCAGCAGTTGGTACCTTTCGAAGAAAGGCTTATAGAGTTGGCGGTGGGCATAGCCAGCCCTACGAACGCGAACGTTCTCCAGCAGCCCCAGGTACCGCGTCTGGACCACGACCAGCTCTGAGGAGAACCTGCCATACTGTTGCAGGTCGTTGGGCTTTATGCACCTGGAAGGAAGTCGGGAAGAAGCAGGCTCAGGAGCAAACTCCACGCCAGTGGCACTGCCCTGGTGTTCGCGTGCCTACTCCCCATGGGATTTCAATAGAAGTGTAAGGGAGACGCTCTTGGCCTCCCCAGTTTCACTCTCCCCTGATGCCACTCTGTCGGCCATAGGGCGCCCAGCTAGCTCATCTGGTCCCGTCTTCCATGGAGAAAGAGCCTATTCCAGAGACTGACTCCCCGATACAGGCATGTCTACCATAGATCCCACACCACGTTAAGGATGTAAGGATGTTCCCCTGTGCGCCCAGCTACTCACCTGATATAGTTGGGGTTCTTAGAGTACAGGTTCTTCATGAGTACGGCCACCGAATTCTTAAACTGTGACCCAGCGGTCGGGGGACGTTTGAGAGACGCTTCCTTGGGATTACCCTCTGGGAACAAGGACCGGAGGAGAGGATGCCGGGCCTTCCACATGGTCTGGGATAGGTCTCGGAAGAGCAGGTCGTTATTCTTGTCGATGAAGCCGTTCACGTTGTATGTCACCTACAGAGGTACAGATGTTGGTTCAGACCTTTCAGCGCCTGGACCTCCCTGTCTCAGTTCCCACTTCCACACCCACTTCTGCCCTTGGCTCCCACGCAGCCTCACTTCATTACCTTGCCCGCATAGTGGGAGATGCGGAAGCAGCTGAGCCCCATGGTATGGTCGTACTGGCGCTGGGCATTCTGGGTGACTTTGCTCTCATAGTGAGTGTGCTTCGAGAAGAGCTGGTTCAGCTTCGCCAGAAAAGTGGAGTCGCTGACCACCCCAGGTCTCAGGCACTCTTCATCCAGCATGGCCAGGATGCCTTGCTGACTCTGGGTCATGGGAACAAGATCCATGTGAGCTGCCCTTGGTCCTCCCAACCCTCTCATCCTCACCAGACTGGGGGAAGGGAGAGAGGGAGACAGGGGAGGGAGGATGCTCAGGAAGTCTGGAAAGGGGGGCGGGTCCCAGAACTGAGAGGACAGCTGCTCACATGCTCGATGAGGTTACAGATGATGCCGTTGTCAAAGTAGTCCACCTTTGTCCACGGTATGCCCTAGCAAGGGGAGACAACAGTCACAGAAGCAAGTCCCAGAAAGCCTCTAACGTCCTCACCAGACCCGGGCTCCCTTTAACCCACTGTAAAGAGGACTTCAGAAAGGCCTGTCACTCAGGGACGACCTCGGTTTGATTCAGTTTACAACGCACCCCTCCCAGGTTGGTGGTGAATTCGTGTGTGTGTCTCAGGGAGTGGGTAGACACATAGGAGAAACCAGAGCAACTGAAGCGGAAGGGGAGACAAAGCCAAACACCTGGAGATAGTGAGGGCTGGGAGGGAGCATGACTATCAGGTGTAGGGTGGGACAGAGCTCACCCCAGTGTAGGGGTAGAGAAGTAGCTACTGGGCTCTGACATGATCAATATGTCTAGATGGCGTGAACCAGGACTGTTACCCAGCAACAAAGCCAATCTGATGCATCTTCAAAGATCCACACCTGTGGTTTTAGTTCCACAGCACTCACCACACACTTGCTAAAACACAGACTGCTACACTGTTTCCAACTCGGTGTGTTTGGGATGTGCCCAGGAACTGACATTTCCAACCTGTCCCCAGTGGTGGTGTAGCTCCCGGTCCAGGACCACACTTCAAAAACTACTCATCCAGGGCTGAGATGTCTCAGTGGATAAGTGTGCCTGCTGCCAAGCCTGAGTTCAATGCCCAGGTCCCACATGGTGGAGCGCATCAGCTTCTCCGGCTGTCCTCTGACCTCCACTAGAACCTTGTAATTTTTTAAAGTGGGGATCTCTCTCTGCTTTGCCCTCTCACCGAACATCAGGATTACAGGTTATGCCACAATCCTCCCAAGGACCAGACAACCCAAATGTAGGCTATGGCGCACAAGCCTTCTCTTTCCTCACGGTTTCTTAGAGAAAAAGAGACTGAACATAAGTGAAGTTGACTTCCTACTACTTCCCAAAGTACCTTTCCCAATGGGCTAAATGAAATATGGAATCCTGCAATACCACACAGCCATAAAAAGGATTACCTTGCTAAGCAAAGATGTACAGAACAGAGCATATTTGCTAGCTTTTTATGTATGTTTTATATATTTTTAAAAAGTCCATTTATATATTTGCATGTAAATAGGAAAAAGACCTTCTGGTCTTTGTGGGGAAGAAAAATGAGAGTTTAGGGGCAGAGGTGAAAGATTTTTACTCATCTACTTTTTAAAGTTTTTGAATTTAGAAATATAGGAATGTATCATCTTTGAGCACCGAAGTTGTTAAAACAAAAAAAAAAGGTGTGAAACAATACATTTTGTAGCCATGTTGCAGAGACCAGCTCTTGAACGCTCAAAGGGAACATCTCTGGAAGGGTTTAAGGAGCATGACTCTCGGCTGCTCACCCTTGGAAGGGAACTGGCTTGCTCAGAGAGATTTTTTAACACCTAGTCATGGGTTGCAGGGGTTATGCGAGTCAGAGAAGGGGTGTGGAAATCTAGCTCCGCAGGGCACTTCTGGTGAGTAAGTCCAGAATCATGCAGCTCTAACAGCGGACAGCAACATCACCCAGCGCCCCAGGGAAGGCAAAAAGTTCTGACATGTTGAGAGGGAGCAGGAAGGGAGATGAAGGGTGTCAGGCCCATTTGCCTCGCAGCCTGCCCCGGGCCAAGCCCAGCTGTCACTTCCCTCCGACCAGGACTCTCCACACAAACACCCTGCCAGCCATCTGTCCCCTTTCTGAACTGGCCTGGAGCGGAAGGCTGGGGACATGGAAGAAGGGAAGCGGAGTGTTGGGGCAAGTTAGAAATGCTGAATGCTCAGCTGTGAGAGGGAAACATTCTGTCCTTTGTGTTTCCATCTGGGGACAATTAGAAGGAAATTGTGACGGAGAAGAAAGGCTCGCATCTGGAAGTCCCTCAGCAGAGCGAGCAGGAGATCGGCTCACCTCTCTCTTGTATTCCTCTTGTTCCTCCTTCAAGGTCAGCTCTATGAACACCTGCTGCAGCTTCTCGTTGCAGTAGTTGATCACGAACTGCTCAAAGCTGTTATTCTGGAGGAAAAAGAAGGCGGCTCACCTCAGACCCTTCCTCCCTCACAGCCCCTCCCGCCCACCGTGAGCCGGTCCCCCTAAGCGGGGAAGCAGGCCGCTGAGGTCGGATGGTGCTCTCTCACCTCCAAAATCTCAAATCCGTAGATATCCAGGACCCCCATAACCTTCCTCTTCTCCCCACTGCCCACCTGTAGGAGAGGGAGGACAAATAAGAGGAAAGCCCCCTAGGCACAGCAGGTGGGCAGGATCAGAGCAGGGGCAAAGAGAGCTGCAGCTTGACCAGGCTGGAGAGGGAGGAAGGAAGGGAAGGTGCTAACAGATATCATGACATTAGATGCTCTTAGGATAGTGGGTCTCAGCCTTCCTAAAACGACGACCCTCTAATACAGTTCCTCGTGTCGTGGCGACCCCCAACATTATTTTCATTGCTATTTCATACCTGTAATTTTACTACTGCTATGAATCATAATGTAAATGCCTGTGTTTTCTAATGGTCTTAAATGACCCCTGTGAAAAGGTCATTCAACCCCCGAAGGGGACACGTCCCACAGGTTGAGAAACACTGCACTATAGAGGTGGTAAAGAAATGCAGGGTGTATACACAGTACGGCTTTTATTTGGCCATGAAGATGAATTGAATTACATCATCTGTATTGATGTAACTGGAATTTCTGAATCACACAGCAACCGTATACATTCTGATCTGCAGAAAACCCTTGGGAAGCAGGCAGATATTCATAGTAGTTAACAGCTGCAGCCAAATTGGGAAACTGAGGCTCAGCATCTTTGCAAAGGTGAAAGACCAGACTGTGGGACTCAAACTCCTAGAAGGAAGTGTACCTTCCTCCTCCCGTTCTCCGTGCATCTCAGAAACCAGAGAATAGAGCTGGCAGCCAGGACAAGAAGTTCAGAGAAGCAGGCTTTGGGATAGGGCATCTCTCACCTTGATGCTCTCATTGATGCGGTTCACTATCCAGTCAAAGAGGCGGCTGTAGACATTCTTAGCCAGGGCATCCCGAGCATATTGAGCCTGGGGTATGGGGCACAGCCTCATTAATGTGACAACCACGGGACAGCCTCAGAAGTCAGGGCCTTCAAGATGGCTCTTACCTGCGTGACATTCAGAACTGTGACCACCTTTTCTTTGGCTGTCTCCATGGTTCTTGAACACAAAGCTCTCTCCAGTTCCATCGAACTCAAACCCATCAACTCCCCAATCTCCCGAACAACTAGAAAGACAAAGAAGTACAAGGTGGTGCGAGGGATCTCAGTGGGGGAAGGACCTGGATGACTCTGGCTGGGTAAGTCACTGCAGTTGGCCAAGAAGGATCTCCTGAAACAGATCAGATTGTCCCTGTCTATCAGAAGATTCAGCTACAGCTCTGAGAGTCACGGATCAAAGCTTGACCATTTCCAGAGGCTCATCCCAAAGTGCTTCAGGAGAACGGTTCAGGAAGCCCCTTTGGAGGGGACCTAGGAGTGGCTGGGTGCAAGGGTACCAGGTGAAGTCAATCACGTGGGAGGTGGAACAAACACTAGCTTCGGGGTAGGGGATTCAGAGCAGGCTCCAGCAGGGTGGCACCAACCTTTCCCATCAGCGATGCCGCTTGCTGCTATCCCATTGGCCTGGAACTCGTCTGTCAGCTTCACGTTCCCCAGCTTCAGCACCAGCGCCGTCACCTCCAGGACTTGTCTGATCTCATCCTCCGAGAACCCAATCACTGACATTGCACTCTGGGGAAGAAAGCAGGAAGTGAACTGAACTAATGGGACCGCTCCAATGCCTCCATTCACAAATCCTGGGCTCGGAGGATGGTCTAAGGGCTCAGGCCTGCCCCACTCACCTGTAGAGCCCTGAAGTTGGAGGCGTCATCCATGGCGTTCATTTGGGACACTGCCCCATTCAGATAGGCATAGCTACTTGCGTCCTGCTCAAGCTTCAGGGCCTCTGGGAGGTGAATATAGAGGAAAAGAACCAGTGTGTGGGGGCTGGAGAAATGGCTCAGAGGTTAAGAGCACTGACTGCTCTTCCAGAGGTCCTGAGTTCAATTCCCAGCAACCACATGGTGGCTCACAGCCATCTGTAATGAGATCTAGTGCCATCTTCTGGCCAGAAAGCATATAGACAGACATGACCTGTGCCCTAGGTCATGTTTTAGGTCCATTCTTGTCTCCTTCGGGTGGGGTTAATATCTTTCCATAATAGTAAACTACCTTTCAAAGTGGCTTTTGGGGCTTGGGTACTCACACCCGTTAGAGAGTTCCACAGGAGTCTCACTGACTTCTACCACACCACCCGGACTTAAACAATGAAAATAACCAAGCAAACCCTCCCTCCCACTCAGGCAGGAAGGTGGGGGAAGAGAGGAAAACACCCATCTACCCAGTCCCAACTCCCTGCGCGGTGCCAACTCATCCAGTATTCGTTCTGTCGCTAATGCTGCCTCTGGAAGGTTCTCTCCAGTGCTGACAGCTGAGCTGAATGGCTTTTCCGCATTCCCCTGAGGTAAATGAGACTCTCTCCCAGCCCACATCATGAGAGCTAGGTTTTGATTTTTTTTTTTCTGTCTTCCCCAAAAGTGAGTAATTTGCATGTTGGGACTGCTTTTCAACTCCATATTCTGTCTACCTGGTTGGCAAATGGATTGTTTTTCCATTTTAATAAATGAACCAAGGAAATGTCCCAAGTTGTTTACCTAAGATAGGATTGGGCTGATCACAGATTAGAGGCATGTCAATTATATTCTATGCAAATGATCTGAGTGAGATTCAGGGTAGTGAACATCAGGCTGGATTTTAGTGGCAGCTCCCACTGTCACACAGGTTCTGAAACGGGAGCCTACTAAAGAAGGGAAGCTAGAGAAGGAATGAGTCAGAAAACTCGGGAATAATGACGCCAGGGAGATTCACCCAGACTCAACTTAAACGAACAGGTATGGACCCAGCTGGAATAAAACAGTGTCTGTGAGTCACACAAATTGAACATCATTAAGGCCATTAAGTCAAGAAGTGGGAGGATGAAACCTATGGAGTCTCCCGAACCACAGAGATTTCAAGCAGCAGGAAAAAAGCTATGCAAAAATCACGCACTGAATAACAAGGACTCAAAGGGAGGGGGCTCCTTCGGGGCTAGGAATCCATGGTCTCACAGCTAGAGGAGAGGCTGAGAGACACAAAGTCCCCCTCATCCCCTCTCAGTGATGCTCACCCGGAGCCACCTCTGGCCAGCCCAGTTTCCAGGCTGTTGTGGGCTCTTCCCCAGGACAGGCAAGGAGATTCATGCCGTCTACTCCTACAGCTATCTGCACAGGCTGGAACCAACCACGCCGCACTGCAGGGCGTCTGCCCCACACCTGCCGTTCCTACAGGACTGAACTCTTTAATGACAGGGTCCACTATCCTCAGCTCTATCGCGGAACCCTAGCATAGTGATGATCGGGTGCTCAAGCGGTGCTGATGAACGGATGAATGGAGGAAACCTCTAAAAGCTAAGAAAACCAGGGAAGACGACTGTGTGGTGGTGGTGTACACCTTTACTGCCTCAGGAGACACGGGCAAGCAGATCTCTGTGAGTTCGAGGCCAGCCTGCTCTACAGAATGAGTTTCGCGACAGCCAGAACTACACAGAGAAGCCCTGTCTCGAAAAAACAAAACAAGCAAACAAACGAAACCAAAAAGAAAAAAAGAGACCCTGGGAAGCTCCTAGGTGAAGTGGGTGTCTAAGCCCAGGCGCTGTCACTAAAGCTCCTGAGAGCTCTTAAACACTCGCTTATCCTGCCGCTTCTGTACGACTGCCCACAGAACCACGCAGGGCACAGGGATGAGGGCAGCGCTGAGACAGTGAAGACACAGCTCTGGGACTCCGTCCCAGCAAAGGGAGAGAACAGAGCCAGGAGTCATAGGCTCCCGGTGGGAAATGCAGGCAAGCAGAAATGGGGAGGGGGCTTGAGAGGAGGGAGGAGGAGAGACCTAGAGTTCTGGAGACAGGACAAGGTTGGGGTGCTTTGCCATACATCCAGGAAGAACACATACTTAGCAACTGTGCGTCTGCTCCAGCCAGCAGCTGGTAGAAGATGTGGAAGTTCCTTTCTCCTTTGAGCTGCTTCACTACTCGGGATTTCTCCAGCAGATCTGGGAGAGAGTGAGGAAACACTCTCCTGAGAGTCCAGGAGACAGCACAACACAACCCTTGGATTCTGCCCTGGGCCCCAGTGGTTCCCAAAGGTTGGGGAGTTTCCTGCCATGGGCCAAAGGGGGACAGAGTTGGCAAGTGGGAGAGTGCTGGTGAGGCACGGGGAGGGGGACACGTACAGTTGGTGATGACACCGCCAAGGGGGGATCCTTTGAAGTCAAACTCAATATCCATGTATTTTCCCTTCAGAGAGAGACCAGAGAAAGCCTTGGATCTCCTTCTCCTCTCACCACCCGTGGGGAGGGGTGTGTGCTGCCCCTGCTCACCCTCCGCAGCACCCCCTTCCTCCCGGGCAGATGCGGTCACTTACAAATCGAGAGGAGTTGTCATTGCGGATGGTCTTGGCATTGCCAAATGCTGTGGAAAGGAAGGGCGGGAAAGTGAGAGGGTTGCAGCTCCTGAGTGAGTGAGCAAGACTCCATAGTGAAGCCTGTGGGATAGTTCCCTCCAGGCTACCAACCAATCACGTGGGTTTGTTCAGGGATTTTGGAAGACCTTTAGGGCAGAGGACTGGGGAGGGGTGCAGAGGCGGAGAGGGGGGATGGACAGAGTGGGACCCAGGGTGCTCACCTTCCAGCACTGGGTTTGACTGCAGCAGCTGCTCCTTCACTACGTTCACCTGCTCTCCTTTCCCACAGACGGCAGCCACGTAGGACATCACCAGCTTACTTGCCTCTGTGCACAAGACTCTCTGAGTCCCCAGCCAGGGCAAACTACCACAGAGTACCTGGCCAGGGAATTCCCACTTCCATCTCCCGAACTCTGACTCCTCACACCACAGCAGTAAGAAAATAGGAGAGATACCTCAATGGATAGGATCACTTGCTCTTTTTTTTTTTTCCTATCTGGGTAACCTTGGCTGTCCTGGAACTCACTCTATAGATCAGGCTGGCCTCAAACTCACAGAGATCTGCTTGCCTCAGCCTCCTGAGTGCTGAGATTAAAGGTGTGTGCCAACACCGCTTAGCTACTTGCTTCTCTTGTAGAAAACCTAGGTTGAGCTCTCAGCACCCACACTAGGTGACTCAAAACCACCTGGAATTCCAGTTCCTGAGGATCTGACACCCTTTTCTGGATTCTTCAGGCACCTGCATGTATGTAGTGCAATGTGTGTGTGTGTGTGTGTGTATACACATATATATTCATTTAGGCATACAGATAAAATAAGTCTCTAAAAAAGAAAGAAACAAAAACTAAAGAGGAAGTAAGTAGGGGATTGAACACAGGAACAGGCCTGCTTGGAGGGAGAAGGAGACAATTCCAGACACGATTCCCCTCACCTGTCTTCCCGGCTCCACTCTCGCCTGTGATGAGGATACACTGGTCCAAGTCCCGATCCTTCAGGGATTGGTAGGCCATATTGGCCAAAGCATAGCTTGCAGCAAGGAAGAAGACAATAGCCAATGTGAGGCCAGATCAAGAGAGCATCTTTCTACCCATAGCACTAGGTTCATCCACCCTCCTCTGTTGGTGAGATTAGGCCACAAGGACAGGCCGAGGAAGGATGCTGGAGAACCTTCTTCAGGGGAAGGGGTAGGGAAGCCAGGGTGCTTCACAGACATCAAGCTCGAGAGAGCTCTGTCAGCTCTCCTCTGGTCCCTTTACTCACATGTGGGGTTTCAGCTCATAGAAAGTGTAGTCCCGGTATTTGGCAATGAACTCTGGGCCATAAATGGGAAGCGACTGGTAGGGATTCACTGAGATCACCACACTCCCAATGTAGGTCTGGGGTCAGAAGGGGTGGAAGTAAATGAGCCTGGCGGGAGGAATACTGGGACCCATTGGGTACCCCACCACCTGGCACCCATGGTGAGCTCACATAAATCTCCTTTTCTTCATAACGGAGCCGGAGGTTCTTGATTAGAGAATCCTCATCCAGGGGTTCCAGGAGGACAAGGTCCTCCACCCCAACTTGGCCTTCCAGGAGAGACATGTCAAGAGGGTGGAGAGCCTAGGCATAAGCACAGTAAATTGTGGCTGCTTGCTCAGCTTAAGGGCTCAGTCATAGTGAGAGGAGAAGAGGGCAGAGGAGCCTACAAGAGCCCTCTTTTTTTCCTCCCTGCAGGAGAGCCCAGTCAAAAGGGCCTCTGGACCAACCTGGCCAGCCAGGGAGGTGGAGGGACCCTCTGACCACTAAGTATGGGTGAGATGGCCGTTAGGTAGGCCCATGTTTGCCCACCTGCCTGGGGAAGGGTGGTATCAGTAGGCAGTAGATCGAGGAGAGGGCTGAAGGAAGTGTGAGCCAAGCTTTGCTCCTCAGCCAGGTACTGGAAAGTGCCCTCCCTCTTCAGGGAGTGCTCCCTGGCTGCTTGCCCAGTGCTTGTACTCAACCCCAACCTCCCCTTCAGTCACCTAATCCCTCCACAATGCCTGTCTCCAGAGGTCTCTCCTTCCTGTCGTTACCACAGTGAACTTCATGTTTAGATGATGTTGGACAAGGTGAGGAGTTCAAGAATATGGACAGTTCGCCACAAAACATCGGAACTCCCCACAGAACATGGAAGCGGGTTTGTTTCCCCAGCTATCAGGTCTGTCTAGCTGTCCCTCCTGCTCTGTCTTTAACTGTAAAATCTTCAGATTGTATACCCACTCCTATCGTCTTCTGGCATGACCTTTGCCTGAAGCCACACCCCATTCTTTAGTAGCTGGTAGGAGTGGGCAGGGAGGGGTGCTACAGGGAGGGCTGTGCAGCAGGCATATGGCAGGTGCTTCTGTAGGAAGAAACAAGCCCTCTTCAGATAGAACGAGTAGGCGGGGTAGTGGAATTAGTACAATGGTCGGTGCCACTCCCAAGCAGAAACAGAACACATTCCCCTGCTCTCCTGCTTCTCTGAACCTAGAAGAAGAGCAGGAATGGCAGATGGGGCAAGGAAGGGACCCGGCCTTCTTTTCCCTCCATTCTGTTTTCCCCAAGCTCCAGCGACTTCCTAAATACCTAGACTGCAGTGTGAATACTGATACCAGCAGCCTCGGGGAAACCTGCAGCATTATCGCAGGCCAGGCGGGGCTCTAAACACTGGAACTTGACAGTTACAATAGCCTGTGGAGTCGATATTCTAATTATCCCATGTATTTCAGATTAAAGCTCAGTAGCCATGCCTTATGTAACCACAATATTCAAGAGGCCAAGGCAGGGGGACTGCCGTATGTTGAGGCCAACCTGAGCTACACAGAATTCCAGACCAGCCTAAAGTACAAAGATCTAGTCTCAACTCACTCACACACACACATACACACACACACACACACAGAGACAGACAAAGATTCAGAGAGACAGACAGAGACACACACACGAGAGACAGAGAGACAGAGATACACACACGAGAGACAGAGACACACGAGAGAGAGACAGACAGACACACACACAAGAGAGAGAGAGACAGAGACACACACACGAGGTGGGGAAGAGAGAGAGAGTTCCTTTGAAACTGCTTGGCAGGAAAGGGTGTGAAGCAAGGTAGAGAACACATCTTTGAGGTGGAACTGAGAGAAGTTAACAATGTGTCTGTTTGGCAGTGAGAAAGGGGAAATAGAAACAGATCCCAGAAGTGGCATCCCAAGGTGACACAGGTCAAGGCAGGACTCACCCAACACCAGAACGAGGATATAGTTTGATGCTCCTTGGAGGATGGAGGTGTGGAGCCCCAGTCTGATGGGAAGGGGATGAGCCGCCACGGATGCCAAGTGTGAAGAGGTGTCTTGTTAGCAGGAGCTGTCCATGGTGTCAAGGAAGTCAGGTGTCCCGGTCCGTCCTTCCTCTGTGCTGCCTCCTTCAGTCCAGGCTCCTGTGCCGCTCAGGCCAGAAGAGGCCAGAGAGATGGCTGCTCAGCACAAAGTCCAGGGCTGTTCCTGCTGAGGGTGTGGCTCCCTTAACCCTCACAAGCCCATGACGCCCAGCCTCTGTGCATTTAGGCAAAAGCTATCTGTCTTTTGCTGAGGGGCTCCAATAGCGTTCATGTTCCATGATCCCAAGAATTTGGAAATAAGAGCAAAAGAAACCATTTGTAGCCAAGGAAAAGATTTTCCAGGAAAGGGTTGGGAATTTTGCTATGGATGGAAGCTAGCTGGGGGTGAGGGGGTCTTCCTAGGAGAAACAATATCTTCCTTAAAGCTACCTTTTCTATCTTCCTGGGAGACCTGAAATTCTCAGATTTCCTGGAGGGCCAAGTGGCAAAATTCCAAATCCTGTCCACTTCCCTTTCCCTGAGTGAGAACTCATTATAGAGACCCACAGAGAAAGTCAGAGCTGTGGCTCCTTTCACGGACCTAACACCCACATCATGGGTAGCCCCACCCTGGGAGGCAGGCAATATAGATGCTTCCTTCCACGGGAAAATAGAGGCAGACACTGTGGTTACATATGACACCTGTGCCCCAGTTCCACAGCTAGGAACATCAGGAACCAGGAACAGCATACACTTCTCAAACTTGTCTACCAAAGGTTGCAGCTTAAGTTCTGAGGTTTCCACTGTAATCATTTCTCAGCAGTAGAATGCCAAGTAAGACCCCGAGATGCCGTTTCCTGGGCATTAGTCCAGCAGAAAATGGCTCCCCGGAAAGGTAAAAGCTTCTAAAATCCAATTTCCCAACATGCCTTCACCCACCCAGGAAAATTCCTAAACAGCATGCCCCTCTGCCTGCTCTCTTCTCTCAGATACACGCAGGAAGAGAAACCTAGGTAATCATATCACGTTACCTATATAACGTGGAGACTTTATTCCCCAACTCTCAGCTTTTGCTGCTTGGTCCAAGGTCCGAGCTCTATTGCTCCAGCAGAAGCACTCTGCATAAGCTTGATCCATCAGCAGTTCCACTTTCAACCTGCCCTTACATAATTTATTGATTTACTACATCTATTTGAAGGGAGGACAGCAAGGTAAAGAAAAAGCTGAGCAGAAGTGGTATCAAAACATAATCCTTTGTTATGGGGGTGGGGCAGTGTGATTGTGTCAGAGCCAGGCTGACCACTGTTTCCACTTTCTGGTGAAGAACCAGACCTAGAGTAAGAAACACTTTCCCAGGCCCACACCGCTGCCAATCTCCACAGCTGGCACTAGAACCTGGGTCTTCCGCTCTTAGGGCTAGAGGCCTGCAGTTGCTGGGGGCTTGTCTTCCCCTACTCATTCACTCATGTGCCTACTGCATGCTCTAAAACAAGATGGCACTTTGGTCTCAAAACAATAAATTTCAGCTCCTGCTGCCAACCATGCTGAACTGCCTGGGACCCTGCCCCAGTGGGCTCCTATATACCTAGAGGTTAAATCTCGATCTGTGGCTGGGCGTTGTGGCACACTTTTAATCCCAGCACTGGGAAGGCAGACGCAGGCCAGTGCCGCACCCTTCACCCTACAAAAAACTAGGGACGAGCTGGAGGGAATGTAGTTTACAACATAGAAGACACACACTCAAGCAGCTGGAATTTCGACGTCCACCATTCTGGAGTAGGGCAGGTTGGTACAGCACTGTCATCTGCTTTCCAGACACCAAGCTAACCCCTAGTCACCTTCCGTGGTCCCTATCTACACCAGGATAAAGTATGGCTCAGTGGTAGCCTATGGCTAGCAGAGTCCCTGAGGATGATCCACCCTGAAAAAGTGAACAAGCTTGCACTCCATACAACGGGTGTAAAGGAATTTGGTGGGATGCAGGAATGAGTATACAAATGACTCTGCAGACTAAGCCCAACCATACAGGAAACACAGGAATTTTACTGTCTATGTAACTTACATTCTAAAGCAGACAGTGGTACTGGTTTCTGACAGCTGGCACTCACCTGATCACACAGATTCTCTCAAGCCTCCCAGCCAATCATTTTATTTTTTTTTCCCAAGAGTTTCTCTGTAGTTTTGGAGCCTGTGAACTTCCTCTGTAGACCAGACTGGTCTCAAACTCAGGAGATCCGCCTGTCTCTGCCTCCCAAGTGCTGGGATTAAAGGCATGCGATGCCACCACCTGGCTATAGTAACTTTTTAAAATTTGCTGGCAGTGGTGGCTTATGCACTCTGTGGGGCTGATAGGGAAAATAAGGAGTTCAAGGCCAACCTGGGCCTCACGAGACAGTCTCAACTCCACCACCGCCATCCTCGCCCCGCTCCAAAATAGTAAAACCAATACTTAGGACAGAGAAGTCTGATTACGAAAAAGGGAAATACATAATACGAGATTGATGTACTAATTGTCAATTATCTGAAAGTATAAGATGCACATAAAAATGTTCATTAAGAGACTCAGTGGGCAAGAACACTTGCTGCTAAGCCTGCTGACTTTAGTTTCACCCCTGGAACACACATGGTGGGAAGAGAGACAGAGTCACACAAGTTATCCTCTGATGTCCACACGTGTGCCCAGGATGAACACACTCACAGACTTTTATATACACACACAAACCAAATATTGAAACATTTTAATTTAAAAAGGAAACACAGCATACAAAACTTTATTAAAATTGTGATTATTTACAAGCCATATAATAATAAAAAAATACACAGCATCACTTTTTCTTACAGAAAAGTAGGGGAAGACCATGGCAAACAGTCATCCCTGATAATTTTGTTCTCCCTGAATATCCATTAACATTTACTAAGTACAAATGACAAATATTTTATCTAAATTAACACTAAGGCATTACCCACAGGCTGAAACTCACCTAGAAGTTTCTTGGCCTTGCTATTTCAGTATCAATTCCACAGACTTGGAAACTGTGGCCACTGTGGGTTTTCACAGGCTCTGAGGTTCACATTGGGGCAATCTGTCACACTGCAATGTTCACGCGGCCCCAAAGTTCAAAGCAACTGGTTTCACCATTTTCAAGTTATCAAGAGTATAAAAGGAAGCTGTAATCCCAGCAATCAGAGACTGAGGCAGGGTTGTCCTGAGCTCCAGGCTACACACAGAGGGACACACCCAGTCTAAACAATAAAGCATGTCAAAGAAAAATGACACGCGTACATGTAAGGGTCCATGTGATCCCTCCTGACCCGCTGAGGCAATGGGGCTAACACTGGTGTTTGTGTGCTTTGTTTGTCCACAGTGGGTTCTTGTCCTGCCGTCTAAGGGATGGGGGTCTCCTTTGCTGCCCTCTCACCTCAGCCTTCCAAGTTTGGGTATACACCACTACACCTGACTTTCAAACCACCTCTTCAAAGTAGTAACCATCTGGACTCCAACAGCAACAGAAGATACCACTGGGTTACCACAATTGCATAAGCTCCCCCAAAAGAAATCATTTCTGCTACATGCAAGACTTAGGCAAACTTGTCATATGCCATGGATACTTTGTTTATTCCTTGCTCTCACAGCCTAGCTAACCTGAGAGAGTTCAGTAAATCTGCCCCACTGTCCTTCCCTGTGTTCAGATAAAATTCTTCATTCAAATAAATGCATTCAAATACAGACAATTGTCTCATAAGCTAGACCCGAGTCCAAAGGAATACTGGAAGAGGATACAACTTTCTGTCTCCTACTTCAACTGTTTCTATTCAGTTCTGAAGTTATAAGGACACAGCTAGGGACACCATTGTAGCACAGTTATCCATCTCAGCTCATCTTTTCTTCTGGAACAAAAGATTGAGGGCAATTACATAACCCATTCCCAAACCCTTCGTGACTATCAAGGTCTAGGGGGATTCCTTGGCCTATTTGGGTCCTTTCATTCATCAAACCTCCATCACCTATGCCAAGAGGGGTGGCTAGAGAGAACACAATTGATTAATAAAGGGCTATGCCCTAGGATAGGATATAATATGGTAAAACAGAACAGTGGAACCCAAAGAGCCATCACCAGCAAAATAACCACTGTTGATATAACAAGAACGCAGGTGGGAGAAACCAGCTAATTTCAAGGTAACAAAGTTACCAAAGTTGCTCAACTTTTTCCTTGGCTTTGGTCATTATGTTCTGTGGAAAGGGGTATTGTAAAGTTTTATGCCAAATGCCTCTTGTGTTCCCATTAATGGGAGCCATGTTCTATAAACTCAGGTCAGACTGATTAGAAGCAATAGATTTCCAATGATGAGACCCTGAGTCCAGGAATTAACTTACGGCTTGATAGCTGCTGAGCAAAGACGCTGACATGGCAGCAGACATGGCTCCAGTGTCCAGCTCACCCCAGTCCTTCCTTCAATCCCTGATGAGATCAGTCTGAACAATGAAGCTGAGATCCATCAAGCAGCCTCTGGGCATGCAGAGGCTCAGAAGCATCCAGACAGACACACAGGCAGGCAGGGCAAGGATAAACAGCACACAACAGCAGCACCGTCCTTCACTGTCTGAGAACAACTCCCACACCACTCAGTTCCCCAGGTAGGGAAAGAAAAAGAGCTTCAAACACAGGTAAAAAACACACGGTCTTGAAAAGAAATCCGTATTTCACAGGGAGCTCACCACACAGAAGAACAAAGTCATTCACAGTGATTTTTCATTAAAATAAACATCTAAGTCAGCCCTCCCCTTTAGCAAGCTGCCATTCACAGGGAGTGATGTAGGAAAAGGCACCAAGGGCTCCCCGGACTGAACAACACCTGTACAGTACGGTATCAATTTCTACAAAGGAGGTTCCAAAATAGTGTGTTTTGGAAGGCTTTTGTTGCTACTGGTGGGTTTTTGTGATGCCGAAACTGAACCCCAGCTTTGAACCTGCCAGACAAGCACGTCCTGCTTGAGCTTCATCCCCGCTTTTTCCGAAGCTTAGGGACAGACTTTCACCGTATTTGCAATTCACAAAGTCATCTTGTACTCGGCCGCTTGAACCTGTGGCACCTGCCCATAACTGCTGGCTTTCCGTTTCTCCTGTCTCACATCTACCAGTTGAAGTAGTTGTCACTTTAGGACAATTTAAGGCTATGGGGAACACTGGTTGAAAGAACTCACTGGCCGCTCTGCCAGCATTTTGGACGCCAGCAGTAGAGCCTAGGGTCTTTCAAAACTAGATGCTGACAGCCTGCCTGAAGACACCATCTTCCTTCTTGATGATCCTAAGACAACGAGTCTGATGCTGTCTACCTAAGTGAGCACCTACCTTCCTGGCTGAAGGAATCACAAAAGCTACACATTTCTTCCAATGTGATGGTGAAGATCACAATGAAAGAACCAAGCAAACGGCAGAAACTTGAGAGTCTGCTCCCTCATAAGTAACACTGCCAGCTTCTGAGGGTATCTTCAATGGCAAGGGATTCTGAAGCTGAGGTCACTAAACTAAGGAAAGAGGCAGCATCTCTGTCAGAAATGGAACTGTATATAAATCAGGGCAGTAAATTTGGGGGGAATGTGTCTGATGCTGACAGCTGAATGAGTGTCAAAGGCAGGAAGATCACCTTAAGGTCTTTATCTGCCAAGCAAAGTTGTGGCAGCTACATAACTAAAACTGTATAATAAAGAAACTTAACAGATGGTTTTAGGAATTGCAAATTAGCAGATCTGTGACCTCATTACCAGATCTCACCACCATGCGGGTGGTGAGAAGGCTAAATGAACAGAATGGGTATATAATAGGAGACAGGGACAAGGAGATAAGATTGGTTTTGTTTTATTGTGATGCTAAAGTTCTACCAGAACATGCATGCTGAGTCAGTAAGTGCTCTACCAGTGAGCTACATCTCCAGCCCTGGGATAGTATCTTGACTGTGTAGTAACTCAAAGAAATGTGATCAGATGGGGGAAAAGAAGTAAAAAAGATTTCTCTTCCTAGCTATAATGTAGGAACCAAGATAAAAAGGATATATAAAAATGAAGACAAGAAGTTTGGCATACCAGGTGTGGTGTGGTGGCACACACCTTTGATCCTAACACTCAGGAGGCAGAGGCAGGCAGATCTCTGTGAGTTCAAGGCCAGCCTGGTCTACAGAGTGAATTCCAGGATAGCCAGGGCTACACAGAGAAACCCTGTCTCAAAAAAAAGCTTAGCATGGCAGCAGAGGCTTAAGATCCTAGCACTGAAAGGCTGAGGTAAAAGGACTGAGAGCTTAACACCAGCTGAGTCACACAGCAAGACCCTGGCCTAGAAAGAAAATCTATAAATGAAATGGTCAGAAGCAGAGGAACTCCATGTTAGGAAGGGAAAGGGAGGGAGTGGAGAAAAAGGAGGCAAAGAAAAAAAAGAGACAAATCCTGAACTGTACACAGCCCACAGGGAAGGGGACAGACCCTGCCTGGGCGGAAAGGGAGTGGTGAGAAAAAGCAAGAGAAAATCGCAAAGGGCAAACAGAATAAAAAGCTTAGGAAATAGAATCTACAGAAGGGCCAGTAGACGATTTTCTAAGTGTAAGTAAAACTCAGAATATCAGTTTCTGAGAATTCAAGGTTCAATACAGCAGCTCCAGGGGCTTTCATGGATATCTATACCAATAAATATCTGGGGTCGATAGTATCTGTCACTCTGGACCACTTATTGGTTCTAAAACATAAATTTGCTGCATTTAAAAAACAAGATGGACAACTATCTCTCTTTCCTTCAGGAGCTGAATCAAGGATTCAATGGTCCTTGTCTAATGTCAACTGGAGTATAAGCCAACAGAAGTAAAAATGGCTCAGACTTGTCCATTTCTCTTTAGAAGGCGCAGCCTATGATCTGAATGCACTACTGCACTCAGTCCTCATTTCTGTGGTCTGTCAGAGTCAGAAATGCCATCATTCAGTGAACTTTCAAACAGGAGCTAGAATATCATGCTGGCTGTGGCCAGCCAGTTTCTTCAGGAACAGCAAGTGGACCAATAGCTCAGCTGTCACAGCACTCACTTCTTCCTCCACTCTTTCCTCGGGGGTCCCTTGGAGAACAGGGGGAACCCACGCAGTCCTCTCACATCAGCAGGAGAGCTTCTGCACCCTCTTCAGGCCGTCATGAAAGCCGAGAGACCGCACAGCACTTGCACATGGACTGCCAAGGCACCACACCAATTTATGTGAAAATAACGGAGTCCCACATCTAAGTCAGGAAGCTGTTCTGGGTGACAGTGGGGTACTCTGAGCCCTCCTCCTCTGAGGACAGCTCCTCATCCTGGGCAATTATGCTCCCTAATCCATACTCCTGCTCATGAACAGAAACTTCATTTGGTGTGAGGTGAAAAGAGCCTTCCACAAAGTCAGCAAATCTGCAAAAGAGAGGGTTGCTCATTAGGAAGCTGCTTATCCTTCCCGGATGGCTCTCAAAATAAGAACAGACTGAACAGCCCAGGATGCTTGCAGTTCAAATTATACTGAATCTAATTGAAATTCCTGTCCTTGCTTTGGCAGATATATAGACTGGAGAAATAGGCAGGAAATAAAGCTGGGCTCATAGGCCAACATGGGTACTCTCATCCTGCTTGTCAGTGGCTACCCTAGCCTTTTTAGTTACGGAGTGCTAAGGTTCCCTGAGTCATCATATTCCTGATAAGGGATTGGAGCATTACAGTTCTTTGCATTTATGGCCCTATAAACTTTATGCTATCATGAATCCAAAATAAATTTCACATACTCTCTGGTACAACCACTCCCAACCAAAGGAACCTGGGGGCAACTCAAGATAGCCAGGGTTACATAGACCATCTCAAAAACCTAAAATACAAAGAGCCACATTTACATATGATACTGAAGTCTTCGCATGCTAACGCGATAATCAAAATAAGGAGGTAGCTGCCTTGGGGAAACAAGAAATAGATTACTAATAATACATACTGATGCAGATAACTTTCTCCTCACTGTGCCTAGGTTAGCATAATCAAAGGGCAAACTATAACAGTTATCTAAAAGTATGATCTCTGTTAGAACTCAAGGTCATTAACTACCCATAAATACTTGGCTTATCAGGCTGAGAGCTTACCTTTTTGGAGACTGAATCCGAGATATAGTCTTCCAGGCAGAACACTCTGGACTATTACAAAACTCTCGGAGTTCCTGAAGAGCCCTTTGGGTCTCTACCTCTCCTTGTATCCGATACTCCTCTTCTGTCAGGAGGCGAGGGGGAACGGGCTTTGTTGTTGCCTTACACATCTTTCTGTGCTCATCAAAATAACATCATGAATCATTAACCAGTAATCCATATCCATCCTCACCTCCACTTGTTTCAGGAGACCAAGCACACACCTACAGACTAAACGTCGAGAGACATCAGCCCACCTCCCTTCCATATACATCCTTCACCACAGTAAACTCCTGACATACCCAACTACGCATAAAGAATCAGAGTACTCAAACTCACTTATTTTCCAATAAATGACAAACAAAATATTTATTTTCCAAAAAGTGGAAAAACGACAACAAAACGATGTTATAATGTGGTCGTACACTCAGTTCCTGAAACTGAAGGCTCCACTTTGATCATCTCTATTGGAACAGTCACTGACAACCTCAGAATCAAGGATCACTCCATATTCCCTTTTGCAAAGATAACATGCTATGAATTACATTTAAAACAAGATTAGGATTTTTGGAGCAATCTGGTAGTCAGTGTGAAATGATCTGAAACCTGAACCTGAGGCATAGGGCTTAAAAAAAAAAAAAAAAGAGCTATAATTTGCACCACCTAGTGGTAACAGGAACACATGACACTTTACTGGATGCTTTTATTTAAAAGGGAGGGAGGGAGGGAGGAAGAAAAAAAGGAAGGAAGGAGGGAAGGAAGGAAAAGAAAGGACTAACGAACGGACTAAGAATGAACAAGGGGGAAACACAGCAGTGACTTCTCACTTACAAAGGTTCCCAAGGAAAAGCTATATCCTTTTGCAGCAAAGTGTATCCTACACCTCATATGTCAATACAAAGTTCCACTGCCTTCCAGTCACCTGTAGGTGGTGTACAGCCAATGAACAGGGTACTCCAGGTTCTTAGTGCACAGGGCAATGACAATGAGAGCAAAAGCAACGTGTGGTATCTGAATGCTGGAGTACATGAAACCCAGGCCCAGCAGCTGCAGTGTCCAGGTCAGCAGGTTGATGCTTCGCTCATTCTCCAGGGGCCCATACTTGTAGCACACCGCGAAACTCATGAATCCCACTGTGAGGACGTAGCCTAAGAAAGGGTCAGCAGAAGACATTCTTTTCAGCGAGTATGTGGAAAGCGGTAGTAAGTGCACTAGATGGCATCTGCTGAACCAGGAGCTTAGACTAGATCTGCACTCTACTATCTACCTACTTCACATGCATGTACGCATCACTCCTATCCTTTCTGTCACAATTTATTTCGTTAAAATAACAAATGGGTTGAAGAGATGACTCAGAGGTTGAATACCAAAGCTCTTCCAGAGAACCCATGCAGGTCCCAGCACCCACATGGCAGCTCGAAGGCATCTGACTCTCTACAGGCACCAGCACTCAACTAAATACCATACATATAATTAAAAACTAAGTCTTTTTTAAAAGCTACATGTTGAACATTTCTAAAATAGTTTATTTTAATTCCAAAAATAAGTCCATGTTAATGTCCTCAAATAACAGATCAAGTTACTAACAAGAAGAAAAAAAAGTTTCTGTGACCAAAAGATTCTTCCTGTAGATCAGATTCACAGCAGTCTTACTTCTCAAGGTCCCCAAACATATTTAAATTAACATTAATAAAGCCAATTTAAAGGATCTTAAATTTTGCTTAATGTAGAAATAAACACCAGCAAATTAAAGCTTTATTCTTTTTTTAAATAATTCTTTTTATTTTGTGTACATTGGTGTCTTGCTTGTATGTTTGTCTGTGTGAGGGTATTGGATCCTGGAGTTTCATTACAGACAGGTGTGAACTGCCATGTGGGTGCCGGGAATTGAACCTAGGTCCTCTGGAAGAGCAGTCAACACTCTTTACTGCTGAGCCATCACCCCATCCCCCTAAAGCTTTATTCTTATCAACAGCATCTAAATTTAAAAGATAATGTTAAGGAGATGCAATATTAGAAGTAAGTAGGAAATTATAATTTTTTACAAGTTAGCCCTCCTTGTTGGCAGGTAACTTCTTCTCACAATCAAATTAACCAAATACCCTATAAAACGCACAAAGGAAAGCTAAGCCAACAATACTTACTTAGAAGAAAATGCCAATAACACCTCCATATCTCTTGTAAATTCTTAAAAACTAGCTGAATGAGGTACAGAGAAAAGGACCAGCCTCCTACCAGGATGACGTAAATGGGACTTCTCTAGACAAAGTAGAAATGAAAGCAAAAGTTACAAGACTTTTATAAAAGAAGCAAATGGGACAATTTTTTTCTTAAATTCAACCTACTCAAAATGCATAAAAACATTTCTCTTAAAAAGATGTGCTTTATACCTAAAAAGGTACAGTCTGCAAGGAACACCAGGAAGATGAGATGCTAAAGACTGGAAGGCCTAAGTGTGCAATTAAAAAACAGAAAGAGGCTTTCAGTTCCCACTGAGCACATGATCTCAAATAAAGAATCTGTAGGCTCAAGGTCTCACCATGCAAGTGCTTTTCAGAATCAAAGAACAGGACAGACGCTGACTCATCAGGTCATCAATGCAAATGTTCAGTGGTCTAAGATTGCAAGACAACCCTCCAGCTATCCAAACTTGTCTAAATACTCAAGGAACTGGACCACTTACCTTGGGCATAAACTTGGAGAGCATAAAAATGATGATTAACAGAGAGGCCACAATCCCCACGCTCACTCCAGTGGAATAGTAGAAAATCTGACTCCTGCAGAGAAAGTATTTTTCTTGACTATGTAATACTATAGACCATTAATGAAATCAGAACAAGGGACGTAGTAGTTTCAAGATAGGAATTAGAAGAAATCTGCCCACTATTTAGCTACAGAACTGTAGACTGATGTAGCTGTTGATAGATTATGAAGATTAGTATCAATAAAGTCCTCTCAGACCTCACTCCCATCTCCATCTCTCTCTAAATCCACATGTTATAGACAAGTGGCATAGAAAAGTCAAGCTAGAATAGGGCTGGAAGCTTCCTTCCTGCTGGGTGGCCTTCACAATGCCAGAACAGGCTGTGGAGGATGCCAGGGAAGATTCCCACCAACAGTCTCACTCAGCTGTGGACCCTGGCGCAGCAATACCAACCTATACAAGATGACCACACTGCAACACTGCACCAAAAACCTGTTGTAGGAGTAACCAGTCACTTTAGGATTTGATGCCCATTCCACAGAAGGGAATTCATATCTGGTACTGTAAATGCCATCAAAAAAATCCATGGCTGGGGAGTTTGTGGGCCCAAGTAGGAGAGCTATTGCTTTTGTTTTTGCTAAAAGACTACAATATGCCCATCAAATCACCTTCTTTGATCTGAGATGATTCTTTTTGTGGTGTTCAATGATGACTGTAGAAATTCATTAACTAGTCAATGAACCAATAATAAATGACTTTTGAATGCCCAGCCATTAAATGGAGCACCTGAACCATCGCCTCCAAGGCTTAGGGAACATCACGGAACAAGGGGTTCAAAGAGTTCAAGAGCTGGAAGGAGGAGGAGGAGTGGTAAGACATAAGATGTTGCACTTATTTTTATACTTTAGTTTTTTTGAGACAGTCTATGTGGCCCTGGCTGTCCTAGGACTCGCTATGTAGACCTCGGTGGCCTAGAACTCTCAGAGATCCTCAGCCTCTCAAGAGCCACCATACCCCACACCAAGACCTTGTACTTGGGAGAGGGACAAGTACAGGGCAATGGGAGAGGGAGAGGCAGGGCGTTCAGTGGTGAGGTCACTGGTAAGGTGCCCATGCTGAACATCGAGGAAATCTGGGATACCATGAGAAGATCAAACCTAAGAATAATAGGAACACAAGGAGTAGAATTCTAGCTCAAAGGACCAGAAAATATTTTTAAAAAACCATAGAAGAAAAATTTCTAACCTAAAGAAGGAGATGCCTATAAAGGTACAAGAAGCTTACAGAACACCAAATAGATTGGACTGGAAAAGAAAGTCCCTGAGTCACATAATAATCAAAACACTAGAATAAAGAAAGAATATTAAAAGATGCAAGGGACCAAGTAACATATAAAGGCAAACTTATTAAAATTATACCCAACTTCTCAACAAAGTCTCTAAAAGTTAGAAGGGTCTAGACAGATGTCCTGCAGACTAAGAGAACACAGATTCCAGCCCAGACTATTATACCCAGCAAAACTTTCGATTACCACAGATGGAGAAAAGATGTTCCATGATAAAGTCAAATTTAAACAATATCTATCTAAAAATTCAGGTCTACAGAGGTACTAGATGGAAAATTCCAACCAATGGAGGTTAACTACACTCTTGAAAATATAGGCAATAAATAATCTCACACCAACAAAACCCTAAGACACACAAAACCCTAAGACACACACACCAACAATACAATAACAGGAATTAAGAATCAGTCATTGATATCTCTCAATATCAATGGATTTAATTATACAATAAAGACACAGCCTAATGGAACAGATGCAAAAACAGGATCCATCCCTTCTGCTGCATACAAGAAACACTTCAATATCAAAGACATTACCTCAAATGATTGGAAAAAGATTTTCCAAGCAAATAGACCTAAGAAGCAAGATGGGTGTAGCCATTCTAATGTCTAATAAAAGAGATTTCAAACCCAAATTAATCAAAAGAGATGGGAAAAGACAGTCCATACTCATCAAAGGAACAATCCACCAATATGACATCTCAGTTCTCAACATCTATGCCCCAAACACAAGAGCACCAAGGTTTATAAAGGAAACACTTATTATGGATACAATATTATGCATATATTCTGTCTACATATATGCCTGCAGGCCAGAAGAGGGCACCAGACCTCATTACAGATGGTTGTGAGCCATCATGTGGTTGCTGGGAATTGAACTCAGGACCTTTGGAAGAGCAGGCAATGAATGTTCTTAAAAGCTGAGCCATCTCTCCAGCCCAAGGAAACACTTCTTAAAGCTTAAATCACACATCAACCCTCACACACTGATAGTGGAAGATTTTACCCCACTCTCACCGATGAACAGGTCATCTAAACAAAAACCAAACAGAGAAACACTGGAGCTAGAGAAATTGTGAACCAAATGGACCTAACAGATATCTACAGAACACTTTATCTGAACACAAAAGAATACACTTTCTTCTCAGCATCCCATGGAACATTCTCCAAAATCAACCACAGACTCAGTCACAAAGCAAGTCTCTACATATACAAGAAAACTGAAATAGCCCTGGCATCCTATCAGACCACCATCAAGTAAAGCTGGGTTTCAACAACAGAAACAACAGAAAGCCTACAAACTGATGAAAACTGAATAACTCTCTACTGAATGATCTCTGGGTCAAAGCAGAACGAAATTAAAGACTTCGGAGAATTTGATGAAAATGAATGCATAGCATATCCAAACTTACAGGACACAATCAAAGTGGTGCTAAGAGTAAAGTTCAAAGCACTAAGTGCTTTCAAAAAGAAACTAAAGAGATCTCATACTAGCAACTTAACAGCACACCTAAAAGCTCTAGAACAAAAAGAAGCAAACCCACACAAGAGTAGAAGGCAGGAAATAATCAAACTAAAGGCTGAAGTCAATAAAACAAACAGAACAATACAAAGAAATCAATGAAACAAAAAGTTAGTTCTTTGGGAAAAAAGTCAACAACATGAACAAACCCTTATAAAAACTAACTAAAAGAGAGAATATTCAAATTAATAAAATCAGAAATAAAAAGGGAACATAACAGATACTGAAGAAATCCAAAGAATCATTAGGTTATACTTCAAAAACCTGTACTCTACAAAATTGGAAAATCTAAGAAATGGACTAGCCAGAGCAATAAGAAAACAAAAAGAGACCAATATAAATTGAAAAGTCAAAGTATCGCTATTTGTAGATGGATCTCTACAGAGCTAGTTCCAGGATAGCCAGGGCTACACAGAGACCCTGCTCCCAAAAACAAAAACAAACAAAATAAATGAGACCTCACGAAACTGAAAAGCTTCTCTAAGGCAAAAGATACCATCAAAAGGACAAAATGGCAGCCTACAGAATGGAAAAAGATTTTTGCCAACCCTATACCCAAAATATATAAAGAGCTCAAGAAACTAGACATCAACAAATCAAATAACCAAATTAAAAAATGGAGTACAGATCTAAACAGAGAATCAACACAAGAATCTTCAATGACTGAGAAGCACTTAAAGAATGTTCAACACTGGGCAGTGGTGGTATACACCTGTAATCTCAGTACTCAGGAGGCAGAGCAAGCAGATCTCTGTGAGTTAGAGACCAACCTAGTGTACAGAGTGAGTTCCAGGACAGCCAGAGCTACACAAAGAAACCCAGTCTCAAAAAAACAAAAAAAGAAAGAAATATTCAACATAAGTAGTCATCAGGTAAATACAAATCAAAACTCTGAGATTCCATCTTATACCTGTCAGAATAGTTAAGATCAAAAACACAAGTAACAGCTCATGCTGGAGAGGATGTGGAGCAAGGCAAACAAACACTCCTGCATTGCTGGTGACACTATGGAAATCAATACAGTGGTTTGCCAGAAAATTGGGAATCTACCTCAAGACCTAGGTCCACCACTCGTGGGCAGACACCCAAAGGATGCTCTATCTTACCACAAGGACACTTGCTCAACTATGGTCACTGCAGTGTTATTCATAATAGCCAGAAACTGGAAAACAACGTAGATGTCCCTCAAGCAAAGAATGGTAAAGAAAATGTGGTACATTTACAGAATGGAGTATTACTTAGATGTTAAAAAAAATAATAATATCATGAAATTTGTAGGCAAATGGATGGAACTAGAAAAAAAAAAACACCCCAAGTGAGCCAACCCAAACCCAAAAAGATAAACATGGTATGTACTCACTTATAAGTGGCTATTAGCCATAAAGTAAAAGATAATACAATATAAACAATCCATAGATTCAGAGAGGCTAAGTAACAAGGAGGGCCCACGGAGGGATACATGGATCTCCCTGGCAAGGGGAAACAGATTTCGCAGTTAGACTGAGGGCAGGAGGGGATGGGACAGAATGGGGGGAAAGAATACTGGAAGAGACGACTGGAAGAGGCAAGGAAGAAACAGAGTACAATGGAAACCATTACCAGAGTGTAATGGAGTACAATAGAAATCCATGAGGGTAACCCTAGTGAAGACCCCTAATAATGGATAATCTGGAACCTGAACCAGACATCTTCTGTAACCATGCAAGGTTTCCAGGGGAAGAACTGGAACATCAACATAGCCACAAAACCTTCGACCTAAAATTAGTCCTGCCTACAAGATGTGTTCAGGTAAAGTTGGCACAGAACTTGTGGAAGCACCCAACCAATAACTGGTCCAAATTGTGACCCATACATACCATGAGAGGGAGTCCATGCAGATATTGCCTGGAGGGCCAGGAACTAGAGAGTCTGAACAACTCAGAGACCAAGGATAGAACCATGATGGGGGGAAAAGTTAATGAAACAATTCCTAATGATATTCTGCTATACGTATAGACCCAAACCTAGCACAATCACCATCAGAGAGGCTTCATTCAGCAACTGATGGGAGCAGATGCAGAGACTCACAGCCAAACATTAGAGCTTGTGGAATCCTGCAAGAGCACAAGAATTGTAGGATCCAGAGGGGTCAAGGACACCACAAGAAAACAGCCAGCAGAATCAACTAACCAGGGCTCAGAGGGGCTCAGAGGGGCTCAGAGAGACTGAAGTGACAATCAAGGAGCCTGTACGGGTCTGAGCTATATCCTCTGTATATATGTTACGTTTGTGTAGCTTGGTCTTCTTGTGGGACTCCTCACAGTGGAGTGGGGCCTGTTTCTGATTCTTTTTTTTTTTTTAAGATTTATTTATTTATTATGTATACGACATTCCTTCCATGTATGCTTGTATGCCAGAAGAGGGCACCAAATCTCATTATAGATGGCTGTGAGCCACCATGTGGTTGCTGGGAACTGAACTCAGGACCTCTGGGAAGAGCAGTCAGTGCTTTTAATCTCTGAGCCATCTCTCCAGCCCGTTTCTGATTCTTGAGCCTGCTTTTTGAATCCTTTTCTTCCTACTGGGTTGCCGCGTCCAGCCTTAATAAGAGGGGAGGTGCCTACTCTTATTATAACCTCACATGCCATCTTTGCTTGATCTCTCTGGAAGGCTTGCCCTTTTCTGAAGGAAAAAGGAGAAGTTGCTTTGGGGGAAAGCAGATGTGGAGGAAGGAACTGTGAGGAGAAGAGGAGGGAAAAACTGAAGTAGGGATGCAATAAATGAGAAAAGAATTTTTAAAAAAAAGCATGGCTAGTTAGGTACTGGGGTAAACATGATCAAAACTTATTATGTACATGTATGGACATGTCAGTAATGTAACCCATCCCTATATACAGTTATTACATGCTAATAAAAACATTTTTAAAAAGTAACTCTTCTGAGGAACTGGACAGCTTGTCTGGGGAGAGAGAAGGGACAGGGGCAAGCCCAAGCAGAGACTCAAAGGAGAATAGATCTGATTGATAGATGGATCCCAGGACAGGCAGAGACACTACTGCCATTCCAATACTAACACTGCTCTATCGGTTACTTTTCCCAGAATGTGAGTTTCCCTCAAGAGTCCCAAAATAAAGAACTTCTCTCACTCAAAATAGCTCAACATCAAATTCCAATTGTTAACCTTTCACTCATTTACTTAATGTTGATTTTACCTTCACTCAATATTTACTTATCTGTATATTTCTCATTTAATTTTTTTCATACAAAAATACCAAAGCAAAACAAAAAGTGAGTGCATGCATACACACACATACCCCACACAACAACAACAACAACAAAACCCAAGGAGTCCTTTTTGTGTTAGCCAACTACTGGGCATGACACCTGTTCTGAAGTGTGGTTGATCACCCAGGACTCTGTCAGAGATAACAGATTTTCCTTTTCTCAGCAGCGACCAATGGCAAATAGTTTCTTGGTTAGAGGTAGAACTTGGCATTCATTTCCCCTTCTCGGTGCTGGGATTTGGAGTGGTTTGAATCTCTGTGGGACTTGTTAACACTGCCATCACCCTTGCTGTGGTCTTGGAATCCTCTACCACCTCTGGCTCTTACAATCTCACCTCCTCTTCTCGCAGATCCCTGAGCCTTGAGGGGAAGAGTTTGACAAAGACACCCCTTAGGGATGTGTGCTCCAAAGTCTCTCCTCTTCTGTGTGGGTCTGTGTGTTAACTGTCATGTGCTGTAAGCAGCAGCTTCTCTGATGTGGGCTGGGTGAGCACTTAGCAGCAGGTACAGCAGTATGTCACTAGCAGTCATTTTTTTGCTGTGTTCTCCTAGCTGAGTAACACTAGGCTTTGCCCTAGGGCCTATGACTTATCTAGTCTCAGGTTCTTGGTCACTGTAGCAGTGTTTCATCTCAGGGAGTGGGTTTTTTATATTAGTGCATGTCAGTCTTACCTATCACAGCTAGTAGATTTCTAAAAAAGAAAACCAACAAGTAATTGATATTTGTCTTCTTGTATCTGAACAGCATGAAACCCATCAACTTATAATTTAGCAGCGATTTCATTACATAACTCTCCGCAGTAACATTACTTTTAATTTGATAATCAGCTTTATAGTACTAGGTAACTCTCATTAACCTAATGATGGAACTACCTAATGAGAAAGTGCATTAATTAACAATCATATTCAAATCAAGAAAAAAAGAATTCTATTTTTAAAACATCCAAGCACGGCCAGAGATGGCTCAGCTATTTCAAGTGTTTGTTGTTCTCCCAGAGGACCTGAATTCTGTCACCAGCATCCAAGTTGGACTGCTCACAACTGTCTAAAATTCCAGGTCCAGGGGATCCAAGGCCTGATTTTGGCCTCTGCAGGCACCACACAATATGGACAGAGACTCATGGATACACACTAAAAAAAAAAAAAAAAAAAAAAAAGCTGGGCACGGTGGCACACACCTTTAATCCCGTCACTTGGGAGGCAGAGGCAGCTAAGTGTGGCCAGCAATACATAATGAGATCCTATCTCAAACAAACAAAATAAACATAAACAAAAGAAAGTCTAAAAAATACCAAAGCCAGCAACATCTAAGTCACATGGATCCTAGAAACGGGAATAGCAGTACTTATAATTCTTACAATAGTCAAACAATTGTCAGTGTCATATCAAGTCCACACCTACCTGCTCAACAAGTCTCCACAAAAAAATAGTGTAAGTCCAAGGAAGAAAACGAGGAAAATTTTGGGATCAAATCCTGAAACAAATAAAATTTTTGCTTAACAGAAAAATCAGTTAAAGGTATTTTTTTTAAAAAAAGGAGACATTCGTATTATTGGTCAACTACAGCAAAGCAAATAGCTCAACTAAATGGCAGTACAGATACCACACAAATCCTGGATATCCTCCCAAACAAACAGAAAGAGCATTAGGTTTCTGTCCAATCTGTATCTTCCTGAGTATCTTATTCTTATTCTGGCTTCCTCTACTAAGGATTTTAAAAACAAATAAACAAAAAAACTGACTACGCTAAACAAGATGCTATCACTTCACATAGCTGCTCACAATGGGCCTCTGCCTTAAGTCTCTTAGAGGTTGGGAATTTGAGAAAGAGGCCTAGAACTTTGGGTGTGGGCCTTATGTCCTCCACATAGCATTCTTCTGGCCCAAGCACACCTCCCACTTTGCTTCACTATACAGCACTGTACTGAAAAAGTCTCCTTGCCAAACAGATTTCACCCAGGACCAGGAGGCCAAGTAAAGACCCACTGGTGGCACACCAGAGCATTCCATGGCTGTTACATTCGAAAGCTAAGTCGAAGGAAGGCCCAGACAGGAGCTGGCAGGATAATTAAATTATGAAGGAACACCAAAAGACAGGCTAACCCTACTATTATGGATTATTATTTTAACTAGGCAAAATGTGCTACATTTGTTTATGCTACAGAATCTTACTTTAAGGCACCTGATTGGTCTAATAAAACTTAATGGTCAAAAAGAAAAAGCCTGGTACATCTGTCATGGGGCGTGGGAGCTGCAAATTGCTATTGGTCACGCTAAGAGGGAAACTGAATAAGAGTGGTTGAATTCAAGGATCTCTTTCTGAAAAGAAAAAGGGAATATGAGAAGGATAGAAAGTAGATTAATGAATCTACTTTTAAACTAAAAGGCAACTATTAATCTCAAACATTTTACATTGGTATGGATTTTTGTACATTGATACAAACTTAAGGTTACTTTTGTTACAACATACTGTATGTTTTGTTTTGGGTTTTTAGGGTTTTTTTTTTTTTCTTTTTCTTTCTTTCTTTTTTCAAAACAAGTTTTCTCTGTGTAACTTTGGAGCCTGTCCTGGAACTTGCTCTGTAGACCAGGCTGGCCTCAAACTCAGAGACAGGCCTGCCTCTGCCTCTCAAGTGCTGGATTAAATGCATGCACCACCATCACCTGGACTACAGATATGTTTATACTCTTATTTAAGATAATTAGAAATGCAGGTTAGTCGTCAAATGTACCAGGCTTTTTCTTTTTGGCCATTCAACAATCAAGTGCCTTAGGCAGGCAAAGTGAAAACACATCTTTACATAATTAAATGCAGCATTTAAAAAAAGTAACACACCTTTACACACTTAACGTAATATTCTGCAGCATCAACAAACATAACACATCTTTGCCTCGTCAAAATAATATTCCACACCACCATACATAACCATAGAACCCAACTGTAGGACAACTGAAAGGGTATAACCCTTTGGTAGCAAAACCTACAAGCATGAACCCTGAGTAGTAATCAAGGAGAACCCAAATCAGGATCTGATGGAATCTACCTCCTCTAAAACTCTCTCAGAAGGAAAAACTTCTCCCATGTCCAGCAAATAAGCCTTAAACTATAGTTCTTCATCTTAGGTATGATTCCACAAGCACTCTTTTGAGAATTACTAATTTTACTGTTTACTTTTCCTGTTTTCAAATATAGACCCGAACATACTCAAGACCTCTCCAGAAGGCATGGATATGACTGATAGACTCCAGTAGTGCTGACCATATCAACTCAAGACCTGCCCGACTCTAGGCAGTGAGTCAGAGCTAGACTCTTGGTTCTAGGCCTAGAGTCCTATGAGTAGTAGAGTCTCCATAAGCTTTCTAGAGCCATGGTATCGTCAGGATTGTAATCAAAAACGAAATGGCGTTGTCTTGGACTGTTTTCTCTGTCTCACTAATTACACCCTCCAAAGCTCTGTCCCAGCTCATTATAGACTCCATCAGAAAAACAGAGGTGAGACTTACTCCGGGTCACAATGACACTGTATTTGGTGTCCTTCTCTAAAATCTCAACTTTGAGGCAGGTTTTTGTGCTGTACAGACCCACGTTAACATAGGTGTCATTCAATTTCTCTTTTAAAAAGGAAGAAAAAAAGTTCCAAATACTAAACTGCTCTAGCTCCTTCAGCTTCTCCTCACTGTCCACCTGGGTGACTCGGACCAGTTTGGAGCTATTTACCCGGACCTGCAACACAAAAGAAATGAAGATGAAAAAGTAGGAAATTTTCATAAACATAATTTTTAAAACTCTTACTGGAAACATACAGATGTAGCAAAAACATGATTTGGAAAATGATGTTATTCTAATAGAGACAGCTGCCACAATTTCTTATTAATATGGCCTGAATCACTATTAGGTCAGAAAAGGGGGTGGAGGGGGGATGTTCCCAAGTAGAAAGAATATCAATACAGCTATTTATGAGATCATATAAAGCAAGGATTTGGAATATTCAGAAAATTGCCAGTCGTAAATAGCCCTAGAAAACTGAAAATGTTCTCATAATGACAGGCTGAGAAGTTCATGCATTGTCATAATCACTGATTATAGATAAACGCTGGTTATAATGTGCCCCAGATACATTTTTATAATGTGTCCCAGAATTTTGTATCAGAAAATTAAAAAAAAAAATTTAAAGCGCCCACAAGCCCAACTCTCATGTGTTGATATGAACAGCAAACACCCTCATCGGTGTCTGTGTTTACTGCGTAGTTACTGCATACTCTCCAAAAGGTTCGTTTTGTTCAATTATAGCCAGAAACTCTTGTTTGACAGTGTTATGAAATAAAAGAGACCAAAGTCATTCTACTCAGAGGAAACTTCTCTCACAGAATCAAAACAGAACGGGAACCACAAGACAAGAGTTTACACTCAGACAGGCACACCAGATTCCAAGCCAAAGAAGGCACAAGACATTTCAAAAGAGTCAGGAGCGTGGACACTCCAGAAGGGAGGAAGCAAAATGAAGGAAGAAGAAAAAACGTTCTCTCGGGATCACAGAACTCTAAGCCGGGAAGGGAACTGAGATGTCCTGAGAATGGGCTTCCAATTACCTGTATCCGTGTCCATATATCATACCACTTTGGGATAAGCACATTTTTATAACAGAATTGTTGACTGGAATTCATATCAACTTGGGATTCCTGAAGCATGACCACATTTACATCAATTCCAGCTTTATGAGGAAAAAAGGAAAACAAGAATTAAGTAGAACATCATAACTCATGTTATAAAAAGAATTAAACTGATACTTTACATGCTTGGGCTTAAAATATGAACCAGACCAAAAAAAGAAAAACTGAGATGAAAGAAGAAATAAAAGTTTTATCTCTGTCCAATTTGCGTGTGTGCACTCACTCACATGTGTGCTTGCTTACAATTGACTACAGGATATCAAATACACGAAACATACACTGTCATTGACTTACACTCACATATAGTTAACATTACATTAACTCAGAAAAAAAGAATAAAAGCTACTCTTTAAATTTTATTTTATGTGTATCTATGTTTTGCCTGTGTGTCTGTCCACCACATGAGTAAAGTGCCCACAGAGGCCAGAAGGGACATCAGATCTCCTACAACTGAGTTACATGTGGGCCCTGGGAACCAAACCAGCCAGTGCTCTTAACTGCTAAACTATCTCTCCCGCCCCATAAGAACTTCTTTTTTAAGTGTTTCTCTACAGAGTATGCTCTGTGTAACCCACCGAACAACATGATGCATTTTCATAATCTGTATTTTACAAACAAGGAAATGATGTCTAAGGAAAATTCCTGAAGTCACACAGCTAGTAAACAGTCTGTGATCCTCACACCCAAACCCTACTTCCACCTTAAGCATAAATACTCTTCCTCTCTTACAACAGGGTAAAGCGACCTAAACTAACCCATCTGCTGGTGTCCTCCACTCCTTTTCTGAGCAGGGTAGACGGAACTGGCAGAGGTTTTGTTGGGTTCAAGAGCCATCATGTAGGGGTACTACGGACTGCGGGGATGCTGCTCTGCTCCAGTCAAGAGCAGCCAATGACTACCTGCACCTCTGGGAGTCAAATCACAAGACTCTGGTTTGTAATTATTCTTAGTAATTCAAGATTTGAGAGAAACCACTCTCCCCCACCTTCCCCTCAACTCACCTTCTTTGACACAAACATGTAAATAACTTTTTTCTTTGTAGTATTAGAGATTAAACCCAGAACTCAATGCTACGCAAAGAAACCCTGTCCCAACAAAACAAACAAACAAAAAAAACAAGCATGAATGCCCACTAAGCTAAAATAGTTTTATGTTTTTTGAAAAAAAAACAAAAAAACAAAAAACACAATTTCCTTATATTTATTTCCTTTGGTGGGGGAGCCTGTCATAGACTGGAGGTCAGAGGCCAACTTCTCGGAGTTAATTCTCTTCACCCACCACATGGCTCTTAGGGATTCAATTCAGGTGGTTACATTTGATGGGCAGGCACCTTTGTTGTGGGAGTAATTTCAGCTAGTCGCTGAAATACGAGCCCACAGTGCAGCGGGGAGCGACTTCCACTCCGTCAGCCAATAGCTGCTGAAATACCAGCCCACTGGGGCGTGGTATATTTCTCTTTTAAAAAGAGAAGCAGATCCGGACCAGGCTCTCTTGGTTCCGGCTCTTGGTTCCAGTGCTTGCTCCCGGCTCCTGCTCCCGGCTCCTGCTCCAGCGACTAGGCTCCCTTCCTGACGGTTTATGGTGTATGTAAGTTTTACCCCCCAAAATAAATAACCCCTTAAAACATAACTGGTGTGGGATTGATTCGCCGATACACCTTTACCCACTAGGCCATCTTGCTAGCTAAAGTCGTTTTAGGTGAAAACTAAGACTAACTTTTTTTTTCATTGCTGAGAACCCACAGTGCTTTTTTTCCCCTAGATTACCATAAAGTTCCTAGGCAACTTTATCACTGAGAGACACCTCAACCCCAAACTAAGACTATTTGAAGTGGGTAAAGCATTTGCCATTCATGAGGACCTGAGTTCAAATCTCCAGAACCTGGATAATGCCAGGCACAGTAGTACATCTATAATCCCAGTGCTCCTACAGCAAGGTGAAGTTGGAATCCCTAGAAGAATGTGGCTGGTGGAAGCAGCAGCAAATGAGATCTTGTTTCAAACAAGGTGGAAGGCTAAGGACCAGCACCAAAGACTGTCCTCTGACCTCCACTCAAACACCATGGCATGTACATACCCAAGCCCACACACAGAAAGGTATAACAGCATGCATCTGTAACCCCAGCACTGGAGAGTAGTGACAGACACTCTGGTCAGCTCACTTGTTTAGTTGAATCAGTGAGCTCCATTTTCAGTGAAAGACCCTGTCTCAAAAAGTAAGATGGAGCCAGGAATGGGCACATAACTTTAATCCCAGCACTTGGGAGGCAAAGGTAGGTGGATCTCTGAGTGTGAGGTCAGCCTGGTCTACATAGTGAAGCCCAGGAAAGCCAGGACTACATAATAGAAAAGAAAAAAAAGAAAAAGAGTAACTAAGAAAGATATGTGATGTTGGCTTCTGGTCTCCACATGAATGTGTGCACAAACCACATAAATACATGCATACACACACATACACAAGTCCAACAAGAATCCATCACTTTCTTAAAACCAAGTGCAGTCTATTTACAAAACTCCAAGTAAAAACATGTATTGCCAAACCAATATTATACTTATTAGCAACCATTCTCTCACCTTTTAAAGCCCATTACTATTTTGTCAAGTGGGACATGAGATACAAACAATGTGTTGATAATGCCAGCCATTTGAAAACTTACTGCCAGGAAAAGCTACTTAACTTAAATTCTACAGTGGGGCAGCACATACTGCTACACTTCTGTAATCCCAGCACGCAGGAGGCAGAGACTGCTAGATCTCGTTTGAGTTTGAAGCTAGCCTAGTCCACATAGTAAGCTCCAGGCCAGCCAAGGCTACATAGTGAGACCCTGCTTCAAAACAAACAAACAAAGTTGTACAATGAAGTGCTGGAGAGATGGATCAGCAGTTAAGAGCACTGGCTGCTTTTCCAGACACCAGGATTCCATTCCCAGCATTCACATAACTTCAGTTCTAGGGAATCTCTTCTGGTCACAGTGGGTATCAGGCATGCACATGGTTCACAGACATACATGCAAACAAACACCATTCACAGAAAATAAATAAATTCTTGGGACTGAAGAGATGGCTCACAAGTTAAGAGCTCTGGCTGCTCTTCCAGAGGTCCTGAGTTCAATTAACAGCAACTACATGGTGATTCAAAATCATCTATAATGAAGTCTGATGTCCTCGTCTGGCCTGCAGGCAATACATGCAGGCAGAACACTGTATACAAAATAAATCTTTAAGAAAAGAAATTAAACACTCCAATACTATAAAGAGATATCCAAAAAGAGTACAGGCACTTGTCACCAAGTCTCAAGTTTTATGACCAAGACTCACCGGGTAGAAGCCACCTGACTCCCACAGGCTGTCCTCTGACCTCCACATGAATGTGGTGTGGCACACATGCTCACACCCACACCCAAAATAAATAGTAAGTTGCTATAAAAAAAAGTAACTGCTATGCTGCATAGTTTTATGACAACTTGACACAGGCTAGAGTCATCGGAAAGGAGGGAGCCTCAGCTGAGGAAATGACTCCACGAGAAAGGGCTGTAAACAAGCAGGGAGAGTATTTTCTTATTCAGCTATTGATGGGGAGGGCCCAGCTTATTGTGGGTGGTGCCACCTCTGGGTTGGTGGTCCTGGGTTCCATAGGAAAGCAGGCTGAGCAAGCCATGAGGAGCAAGCAGGTAAGCAGCACCCCTCCTGCCTCCAGGTTCCTGCCTGGCTTGAATTCCTGCCCCGATTTCTTCCATAATACACAGTGATGTGGAAATGTAAGCTGTGTTTCATTACTTCAGTGATAACCCTACCTAAGACAAGTGCATTCTCCATCCAAATAAAATCAAAGTTTACCTTCCCCACTTGGATTAAGCTCCACCTTAACTCAGTGAGTCATTAAGCTGACCACAAAACCGCCATTTTTCCAGGCTTCAACAGATAATTCCAAATCCACGAGCACAGACAGCCCTAGTTAAACTTAATGAGTGACAAAACACACACACAAGTACAGAAAAGGGACCTGCAGGGAGGACCACAGGCCGAGTGGGGCCAGACAGAGTGGGAGGATAAAGGTAATCAGAACACACTATGCACATATATGAATCTGTCAAACAACAGATTTAATAAAAATTATTTTTAAAACTCATCTTCAATCAATGGGTACTTTTTTAGAAAAGTATTAAATTACATGCTGGGACAAATGAATTATTTGAAAAATAAAACCCATCATCTAGATCCTCGTCTCACACCAAATGCCACAATAAATTATAAATTGAAAAAAAGAGGCATGGATGCCTTAGTAAGACCCTGTTCAAAAAATAAAAGGGCTGAAACTGTAGTTCAGTGGTAGAGCACTAATATCGAATGCTTCAGGCCCTAGGTTCAATTCCCACCTTTGCTAATAATAATTTGCAAAAAAAAAAAATTTATTTAACAGTTATCCTCAAAAAAACAAAAATAAAATATTAATTTAAATTTAGAGAGCTCTTTTATCTTATTATTATCATTACTATGTCTATGTGTATATACGTATGATATGTATGAATGGGTGTGTGCACATCCTAGCACACATGTAGAGATCAGAGGACACTTTTGGGAGTCAGTTATCTCCTCCCATTATTGGTTTCATCAACTCAGGTCACCTATTCTGTGTGGCAAATTCTGTTTACCCTAATAACTACCTCATTAGCATGGAAATCTCACAAATAAATCCAAATAATGAAATCAAATGACCATATATAAAATATAAACCTTACCAAGCACACATGTGGTGTAAATATGAACACTCACACATAGGATAAACCCAATTTTAAAAAAAAATTTAAGGGCTGGAGAGATGGCTCAGAAATAAGAGCACGGCTGAGGACCTGAGTTCAATTCCCAGCAACCACACGGAGGCTCACAAACACCTGTAATGAGGTCTGGTGCCAAGGCATACATGCAGACAGAGCACTGTACGCATAATAAATCTTAAAAAAATTTTAAAGGGAGAAAATAAATTCAGAAATTTTATTTATTTTAAAATTATATAAAAGTCCTTATAAATAAAATTCACAGTGCTGGAGGTATAGTTTGGTAGAGCTCATGCCTGGTGAGTGTAATGTTCTCAATTTGACTTCTAGCACCACAAAAGATACTTACAATTTTATAACTAGGCATGGTGCATACAGGTGCACATGCTTATAATCTCAGCACATGGGAGTACAGACAGGAGGAAGAAATCAAAGGCATTCTCTGATGGCTAGGCTACAACAGCCTGGCTCAAAAAACCAAAATATAAATACTCAGAAGAGGCCGTGAACAAAGGACATACAAACCCGCAGAACTTTCAAGTCTGGACCTGGGGAGCCAGGTCGGTAGTTAAGGACCGGAGTTCAGATGGTCAGTGCGAACATGAAGCCAAGCACATTGCTGGGGCAGAGCCTACAAGGAGCTTGCTGGTCAGCTAGTCTAACCAAGTCTCTAAGATGCAGGCCCAGTGAGGGAGCTTGTCTCAAAAATGGGGTAGATAGTCAACAGATGCCACCTTCAGCCTACACGCACTCACATGTGCACACGAACCCTGACTGTGCTCAGACAACACAAGAACACATACAAATGCAATCAACTGCAAGGATTTTGCCTACTTCTTTATACCTAACTGTATTAATACTTGCCAAATAGTCCAAAACACAAATTATTTTTAAAATTAAATGTTTCCAAAATTTCTAGAGACAAGAAACCAACCTTTTGATAAATTCCATTCTACCGTTGGGAGAACCTGGTAGAAAGCAACGAGGCTGCTCTTTATAGCTGACACCACATAATCGGGCCATCATTCCCTGAGCCGTCCCTGGAGACTACTTTTCTGCAAATGAGGAGGACCCTGGTTCTGCCCTCCCAGGAGCAACTTTGGGGTCTAGACTGCGATCCTGCGATGCCCTTTTTTTTGGGGGGGTGGGGTGACATGCTTTATTTAATGTGTAAAGTCCTGGGGGCTGAGACAGAAAGGGCTTGAGTTGCAGGAAAGCCAGGACTACACAATGAGTTTCAAAGCGGCCTAGCAACATGGTAAGCCCCCGCCTCAAAGAAACGGCAGGGAAGTGATCAGAAAAGTTTGCTTTAGGTTTCTTAATTATTGTCCATTTATTGCTTCGAGGCAGGATCTCACTATGTAGCCCTGGCTGTTCTGGAACTCACTATGTAGGCCAGGCTGGCCTCAAACTCAAGAGATGCACCTGCCTTGGCATCCCGAGTGCTGAGACCGAGGTCGAGGTCCCACTATGCCCAGCTGTTTGCTTTAGGTTTCAATCCCCAGTATCCTGTAAAAGAAACTTCAAAGACAAAACCTGTTGATTGTTCTTAGTATTTTCTTATTTCTTCACAACCCAAGGCCCCATTTCAAAAGTTCACCCAGGTAATAATTCTTCCAAATGCTGTTTTAGGCTTCCAGGCCCTGCATCTGGCAAAGTAGGTTTTTCTGGATACCTACTCCCGTAGCAAAACTAAGTCTTCAGTCCCTTTTGAACAACTTATCTATTGGTGTGTTAAAATTATCTTAAAGCCACAAGCGAGAGCATGTGACAGGCAGGAACGGAAGGGGGCGATATGAGTCCGTATCGTGTGTTTGTAAGCGCTGATTATTCTCTGGGGCTGCTACTCCCTCCAGTGGAAGTTTGCAAACAACGCTCATTTCCCCGTCCACTATTGTAACAAGGCGCTAAGAAAATCATCTATTTGTTACAAACATTTTAATTTTTCTGGACTGGAGCACAAAATAAGTTTCTACCCAGTCCAGAGTTGATTGTTCAGCAGCAGGTACAAAATGACCGTGCTAGAAAGAAGGAATAAAGTGTCATACTCAAAACTGGTGGCCCTTCTACCTTTTCTGGGCCACTGCATTACAATTGAACCATTCCAGGGTTGTTAGGGCGGCTCTTAAGAAGAGCCGGTGGTGGCGCACGCCTTTAATCCCAGCACTCGGGAGGCGGAAGCAGGCGGATCTCTGTGAGTTCGAGGCCAGCCTGGTACAGAGCGAGTTTCAGAAAAGCTAGGGCTACACAGAGAGACCCAGCCTCGGAAAACCATTTAAAGCATTTCCATCTGGGTATAGTCTTCTCTATTCCACTGTGTCGAGACAGCACCATCTCCCTGCGGTGTGGTCAGGAAACTCAAGGATGGGGCCCTCACTTTCTCACGACATATTTCAGAACGAACTGTTAACCCGGAGGCTCGGGGAGGCTCGGGGGACCCAGCGGCAGCACGCAGCCCCTAAAGGGGTCCCAAAGCCCAGGCCTCCCTCCCTGGAACCGCCGAAGGCTCTTGGGAAGCAGCCCCAGGTCACCCCTCAGCCGGGATGAGCTCGGCAAGCCGCGCCGCGCCGCGCCGCGCCGCGGAGTAACGGGCCGCGCCCTGGGATAAACTCTCTCTTCCCAAACAACGCCCTCGCGGCGCCCGCCAGGCACGGCAGCCTGAGTGGTACCTGAGCCGCAGACCACGCAGCCGAAGAGGACGAAGACCAGCCACGCGGCACCGCGGCCCCCCGGCCCCCCGCACCGGGGCCAGGGACCAACCGCCGACCAGCCCGCCACTTTGATTCCTCCCGCCATGGCTGCCTCACGCCGCCTCCTCCTCACGTGCCCCTCCTCAACGACTGTCCCCGGACAGGCAGTGCCAGCAGCCAATCAGTGGCGAGACCCGCCCCTAGGCGCCACACCTCTAAACAGCCCCATCCCTAGCAATGGCGACAGGAAGCTCCCACCCTTTACCCAACCTGCTTCCGGCCCCGGTTTATTTACAAGTGAGATTGATGGTAAACTTGCCCAATAGAAAGTCAGAATGGGCGAAGCCCTTCTGGACTGCAGCTTCCCATCGAAACTCGAATTCTTTCTGCTTTTTCTTTCCTTTCTACTTTGGCTTTTTTTTTTCTTTACGAATAAAGTTCAGATGTGACAGTTTCTTAAGGTAAAACGATTGACACCCTGTCCCCAAAGTTCTAACAAGATTTCAACCTAAAGTACAGGAATATTGTGCGTTGTCAAGGTTTTGTAGGCATAAACGACGTTTTAAAATGTAGTCTAGAAAAAAAAAGACGTAGCGTAGAGCTGAAAATGTACTTCGATAGTAGAGCACGGTCAAGGATTGCAAGGCATTGACTGCGATCCCCAGCACTACAAAACAAACAGAAAACAAGACACCAAAACATAATTTCTTAGTTCCTTTTTTTGAAGGGGGATGTAGCTGGACCATGCTCACGGCCCTGGTTTCAATCACCAGCGCCGGGGAAATAAAGCCTAAGTCACGCGGCTAAGAGGTGGTTTTGGACCAAAACAGGTGACAATTAAGACGGGGCTTATCATCTCCATTTAAAAGGAGGTTAAGGCTGAGAGACAAAGGAAAGACAAAAGTAGTTCGGAGCTCACATCTAAGTTCTTTCTGCGTTTTAGGCTGCCTCCCACGACACGCCATTGCATTTGTGGTCCAGGCAGTACGTGTGCAGCACTTGCAGAAATTGAAGCACTTAAAAAGGAAAAAAATCTCAAGATGGGTAGGAGAGACATCACTTAATATTTGTAATCCCATCATTTGGAAAATTGAGACTGTAGGATTGCTGAGAATTGAAGACTAGCCAGGATTATACACTTTAAGTCCTGAGAACCTGTGTCGTGTGTGTGTGTGTGTGTGTGTGTGTGTGTATGTGTTTATACACACACATTTATGCATCCACAACACACACATATATAGCCTATCAAGATGTGTGTAAAAGTGTTTATTACTCAAGCCTTGAGTTCCATTCCCAGAACCTACACGGTAGAAGAAAACCAACTCCTGTCCCCACCGGTTGTACTCTGATCTCATCCATACTGATTCTGTGGCATGCAGCATTATCCTTCCCCCACCTATCCCTCACCCCCACACAATCCATACTGGTTCTGTGGCACACATCTATACCCCCCATGCGCACACACATATAAGCAATCAACTAACTGATGTGAACTTTTTCTTTAATATCAAGATTAGCAGGAGGCATGTTAAGCCATATCTGTTAATGCCAGCAGGCAGGACACTCGGGTCAGAGGGTCACAAATTTAAGGCTAACCTGCATTACTCATCTAGAACCTACCTCAAAACAAATTTAGGGCTAGCCTGCACTGCTCATCTAGAACCTACCTCAAAACAAAAACGGGTCATGTTTATCTGAAACAAGGAAAGACTATGAAACTATCCCACGTAAGGGAGAGTAAGTAGCCTACATGTAACAATATTATAGCTCTTGAAACAGAAAAAAATTTAAAAAGCCCCAAGAAGGAAAATTGGGATTACAAGCCTGAGTCACCTCTTCCCCGCCCAACATCAGAGCCTCTGTTTATGGACACATACTCTGCCTGGCAGACAAGAGAAGTCATGTAGTAGGAAGGAACCTAGTGCACCAAAAAACCCTGAGATTTGAGCTCAGTAACTATAGACAAAACTATGAATAGGGGTGCAAATCTGGCCCCACAGTTAAGAGTGGGTACTGCTCTTACAGCACCCCCACTTTGGCTGGTTTACTACCTCTTATAACTCCTGCTCCAGGGGTTCTGATGCCCTCTTCTGGCCTCCAAGGGCACTACATGCATGTGCACACATACCAAGACATAACTGAAAATTAAAAAAAAAAATCTTACACTTGTTTTTTCTTAACGTATGAGTAATACACACTCAGGATGACAAGTGCACCCTATCACTGGAAAATAATGGGGGGAAATGGACACAGATACATGGAAAGTCTCTACTATCTTTCCAGTATTCAAGTAAGTCAAAAGTTATTTTTTAAAAGTAAACTCTAGCAATGCACTTGTGTATGTAAATAAATGTGAGTGCATTGATATACACAGATTTTATGTATGTGTATATTTTTAGATAGGGTCTGGCTATATGGCCCTGGCTGTCCTGGAACCTGTGTAGATTGGTATCAAACTTTCTGCCTTTGCCTGCCAATTGCTGGGATTATAGGCATGCGTCACCACTCTGCACACCTCACTTTTCTCTCAGGCCCTGTCTTTCTTTCTTTCTTGGTTTTTATGATTTTTTGTTTTCTAGTTTGTTTTAGAGTTATTTCTATAATAACTAATTTTTATGTGTTTTACTTTATTAATTTTATAAAATATTTATTTTATTTATTTATGGTTTTTCAAGACAGGATTTCACTGTGCGTCCCTGGCTGGTCATGGAACTCGATTTATATATAGACCAGGCTGGGCTCAGATTCACAGAAATCTGCCCATCTCTGCCTCCTGAGTGCTGGAATTAAAGGCCTGCACTGCCATACCCAGTTTTAGATTTATTCTTTATTTTTATATAATGTGTATGACTATTTTGTGTGCATGTTTGTGTACCACATACTTGTTAATGCCTGTGAAGATCAGGAAAGGTCTGTGGACCTCATGGAACTGAAGTCACAGTTTTTAAGGTGTTGGGACCCAAACCTGGGTTCTCCGCAGTAGCAGTGAGTTCTCCCAACCACTCGGCCATCTCCTGGGCCTGGTTTTTGGGTTGTTTTGTTTTGTGTTGTGTTTTTGGATGCTGTGTAGCTAAGGATGACCTTGAACTCCTGATCTCCTACCCCCAGCTGGACTGCAGAGGCCTGCGATCACACCAGGCCAGGCTTTCCCATTTTCACTGCTGTGCTTTCTCTTCTGTTTTCACCAATGGCAAACACCGGAGGACTCGTATCAGGGCTGGGAACTCTACATAAAATCACCGATCACTCACTCTTCAAAGGTGCAGATTGGCCTAGTTATCCAGAAACACATCACACTTCATCACCCCAGTGAGTGTGGTCATTTCAAGTTAGTAATTCAAGAAGGCTACCTTCTTGTCTGTTTGTTTTCGAGACAGGATTTCTCTGTGTAGCCCTAAGCTGCTCTGGAACTCTCTTTGTAGGCCAGGCTGGCCTCAAACTCACAGAGATCTGCCTGCCTCTACCTCCCAAAAGTGCTGGGGTTTAAAGCATACACCATCACAGCCTGGCTTCTATCTTTCTTTTAATACTGAGGATACTGTTCAAACCATTTCAAGAATCACCTTCAGCATTTTATATAGCAAAAGCTACAATGAATATTCATCATCTGCAGGTGGATCCAACTTATGCAAATAGCCAAAGGAACTCAGGCCAAGGCTGATGAGTAAATAGGGTATGAAATATGGGTGGTAAATATGCTTGAGGATTTTTTCTGAACTTAGAAGGACAACATGGTACATAGTCACTATGTAAAAGAGCAATCCCAAAGCCGTCTAGAACAGCACAGGCGGTATTTCTGTAATAATACATATGAATAGTGGTGCAAAGAGGAAGGAATGAAAAGTACCTCGTGCGGGTTTTCTTCAAGTTCTATCACAAAATGAGCTCTGGTCAGATTAAATGGGCTAGGTCTTGGTTGGTTGGTTGTTTTTTCTATGTCGGGGAACAAGTAAGACCCTCCAACAAGCTAGGTAAGTACTCTACCATGAAGCTGTATTCCCAAACCAGTCCCCCAAACTAGCTTTTATTACCAAGCAAGTTATGAGAAAAAATTACTTATCACAATTTTTTGGATGTCAGAACTGTAAAGGATTGAAGACATTGACTGTTTGATGGCTATAACTGGACCAATCAATCACCAAATCCTACCGTTTTTGTGTTCTGTCTTTTGAATCTGCCCCTTTTCTCTCCTTGCCACTGACTCCACCCAGCACCTGCCGTTCTGACTGGCATTTTCAGGTGGGAAAGTCTATTACGTTCTTTCAAGCTATCCACCCTAGTTCTTTAAAATTTTAGTGACTTCTAAATTTATTTATGTTCCCACCATATCTCTAACCAGCTATAAAGCTTGAGAGATGCCTCATCAGGAAAAGCAATGGCTGCTCCTGCAAAGGACCAGGGTTAGATCCCAGCATCCACACAGCTGCTCACAACTGCCTGTGACACCAGTTCCCGTGGATATGGTGCCCTCTTCTGGCCTCTAAAGGCACTGCACACGTGTGGTGTACAGACATACATGCAGATAAAACATCTGTACACAGAAATTTTTAAAAAAGAACTAACTAGAACACTATTCAAAGTTGGGTGTTGTTTGATATCTGATACTCATCAAATGGAGAAACTATCAGAAACTAAATATAGTTAGAAAGATTTTTGTTGTTGTTTTTGGGGGGGTTATTTTGGTTTGTTTGTTTGTTTGTTTGTTTACATAGGGTCTCACTATGCAGTTCTAGATAACCTGTCACTCTCTATGTAGGCCTGAGCGGCCTCAAACTGACAGAGCTCCACCTTCCTCTGTCTCCCAAATTCTGGGATTAAAGGTGTGCACCATCACACCTAGCTAAATAGAAGATTATTTTGCTGTTGTTTCTCTAATACCTATATGTGAGTGTCTGTGTGGGGGTATAGAATGTGAGTGCAGTGGCCAGAGAGATGTTCAGTGGTTAAGAGCACTGACTACTCTTCCAGAGGACCTGGGTTCAATTCCCAGCACCCACATGACAGCTCACAACCATCTGTAACTCCAGTTCCAGGGGACCCAACACCATCGCACAGACATTCAGGCAAAATACCAATTCACATAAAAAAAAATAGAATGTGCATGCAGGTGTTCACAGGAGCCAGAAAGAGGATACCAGAT